CCTTTACTTTATTTAGTATTTTATTTTTTATTTTTTGAGACACGGTCTCATTCTGTCACCCAGCGGTGTGATTACAGCTCACTGCAGCCTCGAACTCCTAGGGCTCAAGTGATCCCTCCACCTCAGTTTCCCAAAGTATCTGGGACCACAGGTGCATGCCACCACATCCAGCTCATTTTTGTACTTTTTGTAGACACGAAGTCTTACCATGTTGTCTAGGCTGGTCTCGAACTCCTGGACTCAAGGGATCCTTCAGCCTCGTCCTCCCAAAGGATTGGGATTACTGGTGTGAGCCACCGCACCCAGCCTTTATTTGTAACACTGCCCATGCCAGGCCCGATCCATGTGTCCCACACAACATCTCTCGGATCATTCCTTTCTCTTCATTCTACCTGTCCCACTCCTAGTAAAAGCCTTTCATTCATGTGTTCGACAAACCTTACAGAGTCCCAGTGATAGGCCAGGAAATGTGCTGACACTGCGGACAGGTCAGTGAGCAGAGCAGATACTGTCCCCTGACACTGTTCCTCTGTCCCCGCTCTTGCTGAGCACCTGTCACACTAAATGTCATCACACACCACTTTTATGTTACTCTTCTTCTTAATAACATTCCCTGGCTCCCTACTTCCTACCTCTTCAAATCTTAGTGTCTCTGTTTGGCCTCCAAAAGTCCTCCACAATCTGCCTCCAGATAATAAGAATAATGATAGCATTAATAGTGGTAGCAGAAGCAGCTATCATTTGTGACATTCTTATTAAGAGGCAGAAAATGTGCTGAATGCTTTATAGGCATTTACTCATTTAAAGCCTCACAACCAGGGGTGAAATTCAACATATTCAGCACAGGCACCAACCGATCAGAGTGGATGCTGCCTGCCATGTTGTGCCATGCCAGGCATACCAGCTGAATCTGGTTCTGTTCACAGTCATCCTGAAAGGTGGGTTTTATGATCCCTGGCTTAAAATGTGTGAGCTGGCCGGGCGCGGTGGCTCACGCCTGTAATCCCAGCACTTTGGGAGACTGAGGCGGGTGAATCACCTCAGAGTTCAAGATCAGATTAGCCAACATGACGAAACCCCATCTCTGCTAAAAATACAAAAATTAGCCGGTGTGTAGCGGGTGCCTGTAATCCCAGCTACTATGAGACTGAGGCAGGAGAATCGCTTGAACCTGGGTGGCAGAGATTGCAGTGAGCTGAGATTGCGCCACTGCACTCCAGCCTGGGCGACAGAGTAAGACTCTGACTCAAAAAAAAAAAAAAAAAAAAAAGATAAATAAAATGTGTGAGCTGACACTCAGAAGGGTGAAGGGCCTCACCCAGAGTCACACAGTTGATAAACACCAGCCTTCCAACCCAGGACCTTCTGACTCCAAAGCCTCCATTTCACTCTCTAAGTCCCCCTTACACAACCCTTTCTCCGGTGACACCAGGTCTTTCCCTGCAACGCACGTGGGCCACAGTCCTGTTTATCTCCTCCATTCATTCCTTCCACAACCATTGGATGAGGCTTCCACCTTCAGTCATCACCTGTGCAAGATGAGGGGACTGCCATGGGGGCAGGGACTATGTCATCCTGTTCACTGTGATATCCCCAGCACCTGACACCTTACCTGGCACAGAACTGATCTTCAGCAAATACCTGTTGAATGATCACTATGAGGGGTGACAAAGGCATGGACTTCACTGGAAGTAGCTCCCAGGTGTCACTTACGAGTGAAAGTGTGCCTCCTTTATTGTGGGTTTTAAAACAAGAAAGGACCAGAGCATTCTGGCATGGGGGCCCCCTGGCTCTGGAGGCACGATGAGGCTGTCTGACCTCTTGCTGGTCCAAGCAGAACACCAGTCCCAGAGCTGGAAAGCATGGATGGAAGGCAGCCACGCTGGCCCCACAGGCCAGGAAATGCCATGGCCCAACATGCTGAGTCCCCATCACCACCACCTGCCCTGCCATCCCTCTTCCTTCTGCTTCTCCAAACGTACTCATCTCATTCCTTCATCCAGTCAGTCGCTCAACAGTTATCGAGTGCCTGTTCTGGGCCAGGCAGGTGCTAGGTCACAGCACGAGAAAGTCAATGGTACAAAGATTCAAGACACAGCCCCTGCCCTCTGCAGCACAAAGTCCCAAGAGAGAGGCAGATACGTAAGTGGACAGTGATAACCATGGCAGGAGGGGTCAGTGCGGGTGCAGGGGGATTGTAGGAGGGCCCTTTCTGTGCCATTTGGAAAGGATATGGAGGTTTTCCTAAGAATCAAGGGCTGATTCCACATTCAAGACTCTAATGTTGCGAGTTGCAACGGTGTTTGCAGTGGTGGTTAATGTTTGTTGTTTGTGGTGGTGGTTAATGTTTAATATTCATCTCAGCCACCAAAACAGGTCTGAATTTCAACACGGTACTCAGAGATCCTTCACTCCCCACAGAGCAACAGCTTTTGGAATCAGGGGAACTCTGGGTTCCAGTCCCAGCTCTGTGATTTTGAGCACTGAAACTTTTCCGAACCTGTTTCCTTCTCTGCCTTTCAGGGTTGCAGGGCTTAAACGGATAGCATTAATCACCTTCCTTTCACAGGCTGTTAGCACTCAATCAAACCTGCTTCTCCCTCTCAAAGATGTTTAAGACCCAGGCAAGTCACAGAACCTCAACAGAAAAGGAATAACATCAAGGGGCACCTCCACATCATGTCCCCCACTGCCCTGAAGGAGAACGCCTCTAAGCTTAGCAAAAACAAGTTTGAATTTTTGTTCACATGAACTTTTCTACAAAAGCAATAAATCAAAGAAAAAAGTTTAGGAACAGATTAGAGCAGACTCAGATGGGCTCAGTTTCCCTTACCCGCCCCCGCCCCGCAGGGCGCTGCTGGCTGCTGGACTCAGAAATCCAGCTGGCTTTTCACCTCCAAGATTCTCCAAGGACCACACCCGACAAACACGTCACCACCCTGGCCAGCACAGAGCACAGTGGGTGGAAGGAAGAGAGCAGGGCTTTGGGGAACCTCCCGCCCAGGATTTCACTACCAGCGCCCCACGTGACCTTGGGCAAGTCATGTCACCTCTCGGGACCTCGGTAGTTTCATCTAAAGACGAGCATTAACACCTAGGTCCAAGGTGCCAGACACGTCTGAGGCTGGGAAAGCACGAACCCTCTCCCCGCCAGCACCCCCGGAATGTTGATATTTTTGATTTATGGCCTCCCCTTCCTGCCTCCTTTCCAACTTCCTTCCTCATCCCAGTCCTCCAAGCACTGACAGCCCATGGATTTAAGCCACATTTGAGCGCGGTCTGGGGCAGTCGGCAGGGTAGGAACATTTCAGCGTAGGCTGGGGGAAAAACGGACAGAGTCGCGCTCTTGCCACTGCCTGTGCCTCTGCGCCTCTTCCTGTACATCCTCCTCTGACCCGCCACCCAGGCTGCTGGGCTGGGGGACCCTGGGGTGCCCGCCTTTACCTTTGAAGATTCTCCCCTCCTGGGTGAGCAGGGCGGCCCCCACGGGAAAGTGACTGTAGGGGCAGTAGGCTGACTTCTTGGCCTCCTGGGAGCAAACCAGCAGCTGCTGGACACACTCGGGCTGCAGGGTGCAGGCGGGAGGCTTCTGGGCCATGTTGGTACCCCAGGCAGGCAGCAGAGCTGTGGAAACAGGAGCTCCAGCCAGCCTGGGCTGGGGCCCCAGACACGATTGCAGCTCCTCCCCCCGGGGTGTGTCCCTGCAACCAGATGGCAGGCTGTTAGGTACGCGGCTTTCAGGATGCAGAGTCTATGAGAGGAGCCTCCCATAGTTTGGACGCAGCAGGTGTGGTGTAAGAAGGTGCCTGCGTGTGCTTCACACTCTCCCTTGGGAACCACTCTCACTATCGGACACACTGAGGGGTGGGTCAGAAGGTGGTGCCACGCTACTAGAAGGGGAAGCTACTGGGTGGGTCAGTGTGGGATCTCAGAGGTCCAAGCTCCAAGGGCTGACAGCCCTGTTTGTTAAATCACTTTTTCTCTCCTCCACTGAGGGAAGGACTGAGGCTGAAAGGGCAGGGCTGGGGCAGCCAGTGTGGCATCCCCGACACGGGAGGCATGAACAAGCTGCAGTACGACTGAGAGCTTCTTTATTTTCACCCATTTTCCTTCTGACTTCTCTTTGCCCCAGCCCAGAATTAAAAAGTATCTCAGCTTCTGGGTGCAGTGGCTCACTTTGGGAGGCTGAGGCAGGAGGATTGCTTGAGCCCAGGAGTTTGAGAACAGTCTTGGCAATATGGCAAAACCCTGTCTCTACAAAAAATACAAAAATTAACTGGGCATGGTGGCATGTGCCTGTAGTCCTAGCTGCTTGGGAAGCTGAGGTGGGAGGATGGCTTGAACCTAGGAGGCAAAGGCTGCAGTTAGCTCAGATTGCACCACTGCATTTCAGCCTGGGTGACAGAGAGCCAGATCCTGTCTCAAAAAAAAAAAAAAATTGGAGAATGGAGGGAACCATTGAGATTATTTACTTGGGCCCCCTCATTGTTTTGTTGCAAAATAGATATTGGTGTTGGTGGTAAACAAATGTGTTTGCATCCTGGTTCTACTCCTTTCCATGTGTACAAGCTTTGGCAGGTCACTTGACCTCCCTGAGCCACAGTTTCATGTCAACAGCAGGGATAGTAATAATCCCTGTTCTAGATCCTGAGACTATAGAAGAGCTCCAGCTTTGGAGTTTAGTAAACCATGATTTGAATTCCATTCCTGCCATTTATTAGCCATATGATGTTGGGAGGGTCACACACAATCTCTCTAAGCCTCGGTGTCCTCATCTGCAAAATGGGCACACTAACATGATTTCACTTCCAGAGTTGTCATGAGGATTGAATGAGATAATGCGTGTACAATGGGTGTGGCTGGAGAGTCTGGTGACATCATAATGTGAACACCCTTTATGACTCCACACAAACTGAGTTATTGTCATTAAGTGACACAGCCAAGATCACATGGGGCAGAACTCCAGCTTGAGTGGCCAAAGACATCCAACTGTTTCCACACCTCTGCCTAGCAGGAGTTTGGATGGGGAATGGGGAAGGGGCAGGGGGAAAGGCAGGGGAAAGGAGGAGAATACAAGGCAGCATCTCGTGTCCTGCATGCTGGCATATCTGTGTCCCAGACTTGGAGCTCGCAACTGTATGTGGACACTGCAGACGCCCAGGTGGGCCGCTGAAGAGTTGGGTAAAATTTGATTCCTTTCCTCCTTGCCTCCCCTCCCTTCAGATCCCCTCCCCTCCCACTGCATCCAGCCTTAAAGAGGCAGCCTATTCCCTCCTGCTGGGGCTGAGGGCCCCTCCACCCATGCACTTTTCTCCTGTCTCTATACCTTTGGCATCTAGAGCAGTTTCCTGGATCTCAGACGGCCACAGATGTCTCAGGACACCGTGTGCCCACTCGACGTGGGAATAATTCTAAGGCTTTTTGGGGTTAAGTATAATTACAACTGGGAAAAGAATTGTAGTGCCCTGCTGGCCTGACAGGCCTGTCAGAGACCTCAATAAGTCGTCCCGTTTCTGTCCCCTGCCCTGTCTCAGTTTACCCCACCCAGCCCTGCCCAGGCCTGGGACTGGACTTCAGGACTCCTTGACTCCACAGTGCTAGGAGAACCTAGATGACCTCCCGAGCTAATTATAGCCCTTGGCACCTTCAAAGCTCTTTACCTGCATGTGGTCGTACATGAGGACAGCGCTCATTCCAAACCCAGCTGTATGGAGCGTGGGTGCCAGTGGTGGCTCTAGAATTCCTTTTTCTTTTTTGAGACAGAGTCTCACTCTGTTGCCCAGGCTGGAGTGCAGTGGCACGATCTCAGCTCACTTCAACCTCCGCCTCCTGGGTTCAAGCAATTCTTGTGCCTCAGCCTCCCAAGGAGCTGGGATTACAGGTGTGTGCCACCATGCCCAGGTAATTTTTTGTAGTTTTACTAGAGATGGGGTTTTGCTGTGTTGGCCAGGCTGGGCTCAAACTCCTGGCCTCATGTGATCTGCCCGCTTCAGCCTTCCAAAGTCCTGGGATAACAAGCATGAGCCACTGCACCTGGCCTAGAATTCCTAATGGAAGGGGCTTGGGGTGGTCATCCGGTTGGAGGGAGAAAGTGGGCTTGGAAATTTGCTTAGAGCTAAGTCATAGATCAATAATATGAACAGTACTTTCTAACACGCTTTTCTTTTCACTTTATGTAAAATTAAGAAAAGTTGGCTGGTTGCAGTGGCTCACACATGTAATCCCAGTGCTTTGGGATGCCAGGGTGGGAGGATCACTTGAGGTCAGGAGTTTGAGACCAGCCTGGACAACATAGAAAGACCCTATCTTAACAACAAAAGAAATCTGCTGGGCATGCTGGTGTGCACCTGTAATCCTAACTACTCAGGAAACTGAGGCAGGAGGATCACCTGAGCCTAGGTGTTTGAGGCTGCAGCGAGCTATGATTGCATCACTGTACCCCAGCTTGAGTAACATTATGTTATGAGACCCTGTCTCAAAAGAAAAAAAAAGAGAGAAAGAAAAATGAAGAAAAGTTAATTGTCCAGCTCAAAGAATAGAAAATCCATGGAGAGTGTTGTGAGTCGTAGTGGAGATTTTCAAGGGTCCAAGGTCCTCCCTAAACCCTGCTCCCAGGCCTTCACACTGTGAGATGAACTACCAGAGTCTTCATGTTAGAGTCTAGGTACCATGCATTCACTTACTCATTCAATGAGCAGTTATTGATAATAGGAGCAAACATTAATTTAGCTCTTTTTATGTGCCAGGCCCTATGCTAAATACATTATTTGAATGATTTCATTTAATCCTCACCACAAGATAAAGATACTATTATTGCCCTTCTTCGACTGATGAGGACACTTGAACTCATAGAGATCACAGCCTCAAAAATGGATCTCAGGCTGGGTGCGGTGGCTCACACCTGTAATCCCAGTGCTTTGGGAGGCTGAGGCTGGAGGAGGATCGCTTGAGGCCAGGAGTTTGAGACCACCCTGTGCAACATACTAAGACCCCATCTCTACAAAAAAAAAAAAAAATTAGCCAGGTATGGTGGCACATGCCTTTAGTCTCAGCTACTCATGAGGCTGAGGTGGGAGGGTGGCTTGAACCCAGGAGTTTCAGGCTACAGTGAACTATGATATTGCCATTCATTCCTGGGTGACAGAGCAAGATCCTGTCTAATAATAATAATAGATCTTAAACCTGAGTTTGTCTGCCTTCAGAATCCTGGGCTCTCATCCATCCCAGAATTCATGGGAGGAGCCAGTATAATGGACCGACAAGGGGTGCAGGACTTGGCATCAGACCCATCCGTTTAAATATCACCAGTGGTATCCCCAGGCAAGTGATCTGTGCCTCTTTCCTCATTTATACAATGGGACAACATAAGGACCCATCTCTGGTGGATCATGGTTTTATCCTGCTCAGGAAGGCTTCCCATCTCTTTTGTTTTATTTTGATTCTTTTAGGTGAGACCTCTTGGTGGGCTGCCAATCATTGTGCTTCCACTCCGTGAGCAGGTACAAGCAGTTGACACAGGATATGCCAATCAGAGACTTCGCTTTTCTGCTGAGTCGGTGGGAATGTTGGTTTTTCCCATCGTGGCTGCTAAGCTAGGAAGATGCAACGGTTGCTGGCAGCTAGCTTCCCCCTCTTGGTAGAGAGAGCTTCCCTGCAGAATGAAGCCTGATGGAGAGAAACAGAGCTGAGAGATGGAGGAAAAGAACCCCAATTGCTTGCTGATTGTCTGGATCCAGCCATGCCTGAAGGCATGCTTCTAGATTTTCCTTTAATTGAGCCAATGCAATTCACTTCTATCTTAAACTTGTTTGAGTTTTGTTTCTGTCAATCCTGTGACATCTAGTGGAACATAATACTTCCTAGGATGTTTGTAAAAATCAAGTGAGATAATATACATAAAGATTTTAGCATGGCGAATGGCATGTGGTAAGTGCTCAAAAAGTGTTAACACATGGTATAGCAAATACTGTGTGCCAGGCCCTGTGTTCGGTACTAGAGAATCAGAGGTGGATGAGACTTGGTACCTGTCTTGAGGATCTCACACTAGTGAAGGAGACAGATAAGCCAACAGACAGGTATAAAACACTATAAAACAAGATTAGGTACTGGGTCTCATAGCAATACAGAAAAACTATTGTTTGGAAGGAGTGGTGGGGTAGGTAGGTTAGGGAAAGCTTCCCAGGTAACAAGAGGATAAAAGGAGTCTTTTTTATTTTATCTATTTATTTATTATTTATTTATTTTTTGAGATGGAGTCTTGCTCTGTCACCCAGGCCGGAGTGCAGTGGCACCATCTTGGCTCACTGCAACCACCGCCTCCTGGGTTCAAGCAATTTTCCTGCCTCAGCCTCCCAAACAGTTGGGATTACAGGTGGGTGCCACCACGCCTCACTAATTTTTTGTATTTTTTTTTAGTAGAGACAAGGTTTCACCATGTTACCAGGATGGTCTCAATCTCCTAACCTTGTGATCCGCCCCCCGCCTCAGCCTCCCAAAGTGCTGGGATTACAGTTGTGAGCCATTGCACCCAGCCCAAAAGGAGTGTTAAATGATGGGTGGCTGTTCATATTGGACAATGTGGGTATAGCAAATACTGTCGGAGCCTCACCCACACCTCCTTAGCCATCCCAGATGTCACCTCCAGCTTTAATGGATAGTTCCTAAACATACCCACGGCTTCTTACCTTAAGCATTCCCTGGGCATATGAGTCTGCTCAGCCCATGCATAGGGTAGGCCAGAAATGCCAGGGAGTTAACACTCCCTGGAAGGATTATGATCCATAATATATCAATAAATCTTTTTTTTGTTTTTGAGACAGAGTCTTGCTTTGTCGCCCAGGCTGAAATGCAGTGGCGTGATCTCCGCTTCCTGCAAGCTCCGCCTCCTGGATTCTTGCCAGTCTCCTGCCTCAGCCTCCTGAGTAGCTGGGACTACAGGTGCCTGCCACCATGCCCAGCTAATTTTTTTGTATTTTTAGTAGAGACGGGGTTTCACCATGTTAGCCAGGGTGGTCTTGATCTCCTGACCTCGTGATCCACCCGCCTGGCCTCCCAAAGTGCTGGGATTACAGGCATGAGCCACTGCCCCTGGCAATATATCAAGAATTCTTAAAACCAGTAAGAAAAAGACAAACATCCCAATAGAAAAGTAAGCAAAAGACTTGAACAGATATTTTACAGAAGAGATGGTGATGGAAAAAACTTCTCTACAAACTTTCAAGTCTTCAAACTTGGCTACATAAAAATTAAGGAGTTTTATTCGATGAAGGACTTCATGGACAAAGTCAGTAGAAAGTTGAAAAAAACAGGAAACAAAGATCTTTTCGGCTGGGCTCAGGGGCTTACACCTGTAATCCCAGCACTTTGGGAGTCCGAGGTGGGAGGATCACTAGAGGCCAGGAGTTCCAGACCAGCCTGGGCAACATGCCGAAACCCCATCTCTACTGAGTAGTAGTCCCAGCTACTCAGGAAGCTGAGGTGAGAGGATGGTTTGAGCCCAGGGAGGCTGAGGTTGCAGTGAGCCATGACTGAGCCACCGCACTCTAACCTGGGTGACAGAGTTGAGACTCCGTCAAACCAAACAAAACAAAACAAAAAAACAAAAACTCTTTTCGATGGCTGAAATGATTGCGAATAATTAATATAGTGACTATGTAAGGGACACATGACAAACCAACAAGAAAAAGACAAGGAACTCTATAGGGAGATGGGCAAAAGATATGGATGGGCAATTTACAGAAAGGGAAGTATTTGTACAACATTTTAAAGTATTCACAGAGATGAAATTAAGACAGTGAGATGTCACTTTACACTCATCAGAATGGCAAAAAAAAAAAAAAAAAAATTGGATAATGATAAGGGTTGGCAAAGATGAGGAGAGACTTGAGTCCTCCTGCACTGCTGCTGGGATTTTCAACTGGTGCAACCTTCTGGAGAGTAACTTAGCAGGGCTCAGTAAAATTAGGTATGCGCTTACCTTGAGATTCAGTGATTCCAGCCCTAGGTCAACAGAGACACTCTTACCTGTATCCATAGGAAGATTGGAATGCAGATATATTTTGAAAAGTTTTATTTATTATTATTATTATTATTTTTGAGACAAAGTCTCACTTACTCTGTTGTCCAGGCTGGAGTGCTGTGGTGCAGTCTCAACTCACTGCAACCTCTGCCTCTCCGGCTCAGGCGATTCTCCTGCCTCAGCCTCCCAAGTAGCTGGGACTACAGGCACGTGCCACCATGCCCAGCTGATTTTTTGCATTTTTGGTAGAGACAGGGTTTTGCCATATTGGCCAAGCTGGTCTCAGGTGATCCACCCACCTCGGCCTCCCAAAGTGCTGGGATTAGAGGCGTGAGCCACCGCTATCAAAAGTTTTAAAGTTTTACTTTTCACTTTTAAGTCTTTCATTCATCTGGAATTAATTTTTATTAATTCCGGTATAAGGCAGGGATCCAATTTAATTTTTTCCATATGGATATCCAATTATCTCAGCACTAGTAATTGAATACTCCCTCCTTTCCCCAGAGATCTACAATGCCAGCTGTGTTAAGTTTCAAATTTCTATTTGAAATTCTATTTGAGTGAGAATGATTTTGGACTCTCCATTCTGTTCCACTGGTGAATTTGTTCATTCCTACACGTATGCCATACCTATCTTTATTATTACAGTTTAACAATAAGTCTTGATTTCTGGAGATTTATCTCCCCGTTGGGCTTTTGCTCTTCTATATAAATTTTGGAATCGATTTTTCAATTTCCTTTGAAAACGATCTTATCTTGCCTCTGGAGGAGTTTGCTGGAATAGTTCATTCCTTGACATTTTGGTATGATCTTTCTGTAAAACCATCTGAGTCTGGTGTTTTCGTTTAAGAAAAAAAAGCTAAACTATTGGCTGGGTGCAACGACTCACACCCGTAATCTCAGCTTTTTGGGAGGCTGAGGTGGGAGGTGGGAGGATCCCTTGAGGCCTTAGACCTTATTAACCATGCTCTTCAAAAAACGATTATCTCCCTTATTTCCATCTAACTGATTTATCAGTTTCTGGAAGAGGTTTGTTAAAATCTGCAACTACAACTGTTCATTTATATATATTTTCCATGTATTCCTATCAGTTGCTGCTTTATATCTTTTGAAGCTATATTGTTAGGTACATATATATATATATGTATTTGTTAACATTATATCTTCTTGATTGTCTCTTTTATTTGTATATAATGTCCCTCTCTATTTCTCATGCTTTTTACTAAAATCTTATATCCTTTTCTTTCTGATGTTAATGTTAATAGTTTAGGAATCCCTTTAAGAGTTCTTAACCTATATATTTTACTATAGACTGTGTTGGCAACCTGGTGAGGCCTAAGAGTCCCGGTGTTTTTTTTCGTTTTGTTTTTGTTTTTTTTTTGAGACAGACTTTCGCTCTGTTGCTCAGGCTGGAAGGAGTGCAGTGGCATGATCTTGGCTCACTGCAACCTCTGCCTCCCCGGTTCATGTGATTCTCCTGCCTCAGCCTTCTGAATAGCTGGGATTACAGGCGCGTGACACCATGCCTGGCCAATTTTTGTATTTTTAGTAGAGAGCGGGATTTCACCACGTTGGCCAGGCTGCTCTTGACCTCCTGATCTTGTGATCTGTCCACCTTGGCCTCTCAAAGTGCTGGGATTACAGCACTTTGGGAGGAGTGAGCCACAGCACCTGGCCCTATGAGTCTCTTTTTAAAATAATGGTTTTATTTCATTTTTTTTTAAATAATGGTTTATATTTCATTTCACTTTTTTGATTTTTTGATGGAGTCTCACTCTGTCACCCAGGCCGTAGTGCAGAGGCACGATCTCTGCTCACTGTAACCTCCGCCTCCCGGGTTCAAGTGATTCTCCTGCCTCAGCCTACTGAGTAGCTGGAATTATAGGCACGCGCCACCACGCCCGGGTAATTTTTGCATTTTTAGTAGAGACAGGGTTTCACTATGTTGGCCAGGCTAGTCTCAAACTCCTGACCTCAGGTGATCCACCCGCCTTGGCCTCCCAAAGTGTTGGAATTACAGGTGTGAGCCATCGCACCTAGCCAAAATAACAGTTTTTTTGTTTGTTTGTTTTTGTCTTTTATTTTATTTTTTTTAACATTCCTATTTATTTTATTTTTACTTCAAAGGCTACATACATGCAAAAGTTGAACATGTCATCACACATGCTTTAAATAAAGTTCAACAAATAAAAATACTTCAAAATCCATTTATTTATGGAAATATATATGACAATTATAGTGAAGTCAATGATATCCTTTTTTCTAATCTATCAGAAAAATATTTATATTATAAAAAAGAGTTTTAATTCGTGTCCAGAATAATTTTTTAAAATTCTTGAGTCATAATTTTAAAACAAGTTGAATGTTAGCACAATGTTTGGAGAAACAAGTCCCAGGCTCTTGCTAATGGGATCTGATATTCTCATATTTCATTTTGAAATCACTAAGGAAACTCAAGTTTAGGGGGGAAAAAAAGCGTTTTAAAAAACCTATGACGATAAGGATTCTGGCTGAGATGGTTACTAACCAAGTGAAGGGCACGACGTCTATAAACAGATAATGTTCAAAGTCCTTTAAAATGTTTGAATGGAGATTTTTATCTACGAGCACATAGTGAAGGCTTAAAGTAGCCTTGAGTCTCTCTGCTGGTCAACACTGCAAGAGGAATTAAAAATCCCAGGTACAGTGAAGTTCTGAGTGCACCGCCCTTTTGAAAAATGTGTGAGCAGACACTAGCTCCCGTGACTCCAAAAACAAGCCAACTAGGGGAAGTGTCTCTGAATGGCCCTGCCCTTTATCAGGCAAAAGCAGCAAAAGGCTTGGCAAAGTCAGGAGAGGGAAATAGACGTATTCTGAGCAAGTCTCCATGGTCCAGAGGATGACCATTTCCTTCTA